CGAGAGCGGGCGGCCGGGGCGGCGGGGCCTCTACCCTGCCGCGGTGGTAGCAGTCGGGAGTCTTAGCACGCGCTTCACGCGTCAACGGGAATTAGGAAAGTGTACGGCCGCAGAAGAAAGAAAAAGTTTTCAGTTCTGTCGCCTCACTATTTGCTGACGTTCTGGCACACCTACCAGTCTTTTCTTGCACTGAACTTCAGACTGTATCTAGTATCCCGCTTTTTCACAAGGATTAAACGTGAGCATCCTCCATGTTATGAATTAGTATTCATAACTGTAACTTTCAACGTGACCAGTGCGTAAGTACCTGACCGATAACTTATTTAGTCATCACCTGTAGTGAATGTGTGGATGTTGGGGTCAGAGGGCCTGGAGCAGAGAATGAGGTCACTCACAGTGGGACCTCAGGCAAGGCTGAGAGCCATTCCCAGCCTCCTCGTCCTGCATTTTTAGAGGGGTTTTTTGAGACTTAGCGTGTGCTTAGCATATATCAAGCCCTCAGTAGGAGTTAGCTGCCACTGACAAACTTCTTCACGAAGCAGATCATGCTGTGCTGGATAGCACTGTGCAGTGAGCTCACGTTTGATCGCCAGAGGTAGATTTGTAGGATCTCTAAGAGTATGACTCATTTTTTTACAAATAGCTCTCCAAAAAGGACTGTTTGTGGCAAATTGTTCTCTAAAGGGGTCATCTGCCGTCCTACAACTTTGATGCGGGGGAATGCTCAGGTCTGGGTCCTGCTGGCTGCTGTCTGGCCTGGAGAGGGCCAGAGACTGGTGCAGAGGGAGAGTGAAGGCTCCCGTGAAAGTGTAGCAGAAGCTTTACCCAAGTCAGTGACTGTGGAATGGGTACCAAGGCGAGAGCAGCACTTGGATGGCATGGCAGAGGTAGAATTAGCAGGACTCAAAGAAGAGCATGTGGTGAAGTGAGAGAGGGAGGTGTACAAGGTAGACAGCTGCGTGGGTGGTGGCGATGTGGCCTAGGTGGGGAAGCAGAAGTTGAAGGGGAGGGAGCAGGATGGGTGACGTGAGGAGTATGGCTTTGAACTTACAGGTTTGAACATGAAGGCCAACAAGGTTTATAAAAGGGGGAACCAGGAGAATCAAGTCAGGACTTTGAGGATGAGGTGACAACCAAAGATACAAGGTAATTGAAGTTATCAGGTCAGGAAAAACTTTCCATGTTAGGATTCAGTAAAGGAAGAAGTCAGAGTTGGCTTCATGGGTTTGTGACTCAGTACAGTCTCACTGGACTCCTTACTGTGAAAGTCTGGCCCTTGGTTTAATGTTTTGCAGTCACTGTCTTGAAATTCTTCCTAACAAATTCTTACTGAGCCAGAGCCCCTATGTTTTCGTTTTGCATGAGAGCCCTGCAAATTACGTAGTAAGTCCTGAAATTAAAAACACAGCTGGAGGGAATGGTAACTTAAAGCGTGTGGAGTCCACGGTGGTGAGAAGGCACCTCTAGGACGAGTCAGGAAGCCTTGACTGCAAGTGACAGGCCCAGGCCCTCGTTCACACCATGCAGGTCCACAGGACTTGGAGAGCAAATTGGGGCTTCGCTCTGTGTCTGTGAGACTCTCCAGGCTAAACGGCTCTGGGCCCCACAGCCCACTGGACATCCCGGGGGAGAGGGAGGTACTGGCTTCCGGAGTTCTCAGAAAGCCCAGCATGTTGTAAATTATGAATTAAACCCAAATGCACTTTCTGACCATTGAATGGAAGGGGGCTGGCTACTCTTAGACCTGAGGCCCAGCTGGAGTTGGCCTCTCCTGAGGGACCAGAGCTGAACAGGAAAGGGGGCGGGGGGATGAAGCCTGAGTCAGGACAGTGGCCTCGCTCTAGCTGCTCCCTTAACTCGCGGCCCACAATCCTTGCCAACAAACTTCATCCCTTTAAAAAAAACTTTTTCCAGTGTTGGATATTAGTAGATAAAATATTTATTGATAAAATATTTCCTTCAGTTAAACCAGAATATACATTTAAAAATCTGAATGTGTGTCAATGTAACATTTCTAAATGTTTTCAACAGGGACAGGGATTTGTGTGGCAGCATTAATTTATATTTATATTAATGGTTATTTTTGCTTTTTAGAGCAATATATGTCCTTTAGAGAAAATTCAGAAACTACTCCAAAATGCAGTTTTTTAAAAAGTCACCTGTAGCTCCATGAGGTGATTGTGGTTACAGTTTTGATAGATTTCATTGCATTTTCTTTGTTGTACACATATGTTTCTGATTCTTATAGCCACATGGTATATCTAGTTTTATATTCGGCCCTTTTCCCCCCACTTTTTCCTTAATGTGGTATCATGACATTATGTCCCATCATTCTGTAGTCTTTAGAAACTATAATTTTCAGTGATTGCATAATACTTGATTTAACATTTCAAAAATTTAGTTAACTTTCTTCTGATTGGCAATGGTGATTGTTCTTTAGGGAGAACTTGGAAAATCAGAACAATATAATACCATATTTTATCTACCCTAAGATGAACATTTTTTTATCTCTCTAAAATTGCGATGCTTCTTAAAAATCACTGTCAGCCAGGCAGCAGTTGTGACCCAGTTGTCACCATCTGTATGCATGAGCTAAGTCATGGCAGTGCATATTGAGGTAAGTGAATTGTTGGAGAAGCCGGGCCACCTTTACTTGCTGAGATTTGTGCAGACAGGTTGTGTATCACTGGGCTTTGCAGAGTGGGTATAAATGCCTTGGGAGAAAACTCCAGAAACAATAGTGGAAGGCTCTAAGAATAGCCACATAACCATCGCCTAGAAAGCACCGAACATGATTGTGAGGACAGCCATGACACAGTATTAGTTGGACTTTAAATGGGAAGAACCAATTTATTTCATTTTTTTTTGTATGCATGAGTGATACTTGATTTAAAAAAAAAAAAAAATTGCCCGAGTAAGCTTAAAGAGTTCTTTCAATAAAAATAATTTAAAAATAAAATTTAAAATTTTGAGTGTAAAGAAAGCATCTTAGATTAATTGCCAGTGTGTTTTCTTTTTTGTACATAAAACTGTGACTTACATCAGTGACATCTGGAACGTGATGACACACAGTGAAAGCATTGAATGTGTGTTGCCAAGCTCTTTTCCTCTGTAATATACTATGGTTTGACTTCTTTCCCTCCTTCAGGACTCACTTTTATCATCATTGTTATTTATAACAACAATGGGTACATAATTTTAACCTGCCCAATTCTTTACAATTAGTAAAATATTTTTATATTTATTGAATAGGTAATCAATTCCCATGGTTTAAATCCAAAAGGTACAAAAAGGTCTATAAGAAAAGTCTCCCATCCGCTCCTGGCCCCAGCCGTCCAGTTTCCTCCCCCTGGAGCCCCAGTGTCATTAGTCTCCTCGGTATTCTTCTAGCACTAGATGTCTCCTACCCATTCCTCCTCTGTCTTCTTATAGTACTGGTGGCAGCACCCTCTGTGTGCTGTCCTCCTTGAGTCTCCACTTGTGTACATTATACGCATTGCATAATTTATAGCTTTACAGTAGTGCTGGCCAATTTGCAGGCAAGAGTAAGAATCACAGCTTAGCAGATCATTATGCTGAGGCCCAGTGCTCTTCCCAGTAGCGGGGCTGGAACTCAGACCTGGGTCATCCAGCCCCTGTTAGGTAAGAAATGAGTGAACTTGTTTCTTGCAAATCACACTGTTCTTCCTTGAAGTGCCAGTTGGCATTTGAAACTCCTTGGTGCTGTTTGGAGTCTGTCACTCGAGACCAACTTCTGGTCTTTCAGGAATCACTAAGTCCTGGTAACCATTCGCTGCACCTCTAAAGAGGGATGTGCATTCCAGGGGCCGCAACAGCCCACACCGAGGTGTGGGGGTGTGGAGAAACCTGGTGAGCTGGGTCCTGCCCCCAGCTCTTTATATGTTCTCTCCAGGATTTACCCCAACAGTCCTCGCAACCCTACCTTTCATCCATGCGCAGTCGCAGAGGGTCTAAACAGCCCGCTACAGTGGGAGTGGAGGTGCTGAGGGCACAGAGCAGACATGAGCAGGAAAGGAACAGTTCATGGCGGTTTATGTGGCCATACTAAATCTTTGCACGTGTCCTGTGGTCCCCTCTCGTGACCTTGGTTGTTGCCCAGGTTCATTTATGCTGTGGCAAGTAGTAACGCTGCTCACTGCGTGCTTACCAGGTGCAACCTGTTTAGATTCACTAGATACTGAGAACTGACGAGTGACTTATGGGTGAGTTTTTAAACCTTGGACAAAATGTGGCCCTGGATTGTCGTGATTGCTGGCTTCTGTGGTGTAAACACTCCTGTCATGGCCAGCAGTATTTGGAGGGAAGTGGGATACGCACAGGAGGACAGAGTGCTGGGGTTACTAGAAGGGTCAGTGTGCCCAGAGGCATCGGTGGGCTGGGGGGCTGTGGATGAGCTCAGTTTCAAGCTTGGTTCACCTAAGGAGGGCATCCCCAGCCAGGTCTGGACTTTGTGCACGGACTCCATACCCTAGGGTTTTCCAGCCCCGGAGGACTTTCCCCGCCACCTCATGGACCTGCTTTAGAACCTCCCTGGAAACCCCAGGAAGTTTGCTCAGATCTGGGACCTGGAGAGGATGGAGAACATTAGGAAGTGCTCCAGTGCAAGTGAGCTACAGTGGAGGTCACTTCCCCGAAGCTTGGGTTTGAGGCTCGTGCTGGGCCAGGGTAACTTTAGGGGGTTGTGGCCAGAAATTGGTCTCCCACAAAGGGCATCTAGGGTGGTGTCACTCTTGTCCCTCTCAGGTACCTACGGTAGCAGTGCCAGACTGGCTCTCATGTCCTTAGTGTCCATCACAGCCCTAGGCCTTGCCACACAGCAGCGGCCTGTGGGCGCACTAAGTCTCAGCGTGTGGTGGTGGGGAGGGTTGTCAGCTCTTTCAAAGAGCATCTCCAGTGAGTCTTAGTTTATCACTTCTCTTCTGTCTGAGGAGGTTGGAATGGAATGTGGTTTTCCCAACTTATATTTTTCTTGAAACCTTTACAGATGTCGTTCTTTCCCTCATTGGGTTTTCCAGAATGACAAAGTAATTTATAATTGATTAGATTTTAAACTGTTTTAACACTTATGATGAGATACTGTAGTCATACCAAAAGTGATTTTTGTCATGGCCCTCTCTGACTACAAATCTCTCTCATCTACCATCTCATGGGACCAGATATGAGAATAAACACCTGCTTACATAGCCCTCCAGCAGATTCACACTTGAGCCCTTGTCCTGAGTCCGTGTGCTGGGAGGTCTGGGGCTGCTGCCAGCTGGCCTCTGATTCTCTTCCTGATCCTCACACATGCGTGTTGTAGGACAGGACAGAGAAGTGGAGGAGATCTGTTGCGTAATTAAATCTTCTACAGCAACTAGTTAGGGAGAACCATCAGGACTCACCAAGCTAGGTATCCAGGGTCACGAATGACGTGGCCTTGTCCAGGCAGCCTTTGAACCTGGTGTTTGAGGTGAAGCGGCATTTCCCCTGCATCAGTTCTCTTTGCTACTCTGCAATGAAAGGAAATGACCATTTTGAGTGAGGGTGTCACCCCCTCTGCTTTATTCTTGCAGGTCTAGCAGACTAGCAAGAGCGTGGACACAGAAATGTGCCATGTAAGTGCCCTGGAGGTTTTCCCGAAGACAGTGCCCAAGAGAAGCCAGCTGGACAGAGTGGCCCTCTGTGACACTCTGAGCTGCTGGCTGAGCCACTCACAGAACATCACTTCTTCTATGAACACATGGTGATTGCCTGCTTTCTCCAACGGCTGTATGTTGGTGCCACTCTCAGCCATCGTGACTACTTTGACAACGTCACAGCTTTGATGCCGAATCAGTAGTCACCATCAGGGTCTGCGGCCTTTCTGGATGCACTGGAATTGGTCCCTCTACCCTGACCGCTGGTGGTTTCTTGGGGAGACCGTGTGCCGTGTGCCAACCCTGCCTGGCCTCACTCAGGGTGGCATCACTTGCCCTAGCACCACC